ACAGGGTGGATAGGGATTTGGATGCCATTGCTCAAGTCTTCCGCTGGTTTTCAACCCCCGATGCTTGGCCCTCCCCCAACATAAGTTAATAGGCTTTTACCTTGTAGGTTCAACTCACATGTGAAGCCAGAGCGTCATTTCTGCTCTGTTGACAAGCCCATGTCCAACCAAGCGGTCAAGCCAAGTGCATCGGACTCCACTTGGAGCCCTCGATCCTTCTTCAGTTTGGCATGCGTAAATGTACGCACATTGCTACAGATCGGTCTGCAAGTAGCACTTGCCCGAACCTTAAGGGCCGCCTCTATTGATATTTGATATTGATATTGATGTTACAAGACTCCCCTGTCAGCACCATCGGTCAGTCGAGCGCACCGATCGCGACACTCATCGGGCGATCATGATATATGTTGATACATGGAAATATGCGGTGGCGTAGTATATTAAAAATGGCAATCATCACCGTGTTTGTATTATTTTACTCGATACCAATGGATAATTCATTTGCCACACTATGTTTAAATGCATTATTTTAATACTGCACTACTGGCGCGCTATTTGCATTTCACTTCTGTGTCTCGCCGAGTTCCCTGGCTCCTTTTCCGCCATGGATAAGAAGTCTGTGAACGTATTTTCTAGTTGCTCCGCCACAAGTTTTATCGTAGAATACAACGGGTGGAAGATGACATACAGAGAGAAATGCAAGATGTCATTACAAGATATGTGCTTTGCTTTTCGCGGAAGGTCTTTTCAGCTACGCGCGAGATGATAAGTACTGTAACTACCGCACAAGATATGCATTCTCCGCGCTATGCTGGAGAGAGCCTTTTACGGACGCAATATGGGCTACTGGTGGAGTCCTTCACCACACATATGAATCGCACGTGCCTTATGCTTCCATTTCATAAATCCACGTATTCAGATTTTTGTTTAACGTAGTTGTTTTAGCCCGTCCAACCAACATTTTGCGTCCAGTGGAATCAGTTACCTTAGAGGAAATTCTGCGTGACATGGCTTTGCACGGAAGCTTTACTTTTACCCAGATTAACCTCCTTTTGCGCAATCTTCGGCGTTTATATCCTAACTTACCGGTTGACGCTCGGAGCACTTTGAAAACGCCCCGTCGCTGCACAGTGCGGTTAATCAGAGGCGGCAGTTACATCCATATGGGTTTGCAGGACGCCATATGCGACGTGTTGCGCCGAACGCATTCACCCCGTCCGTCGTTGCTCGAGTTGCAGATACATATAGACTGAATGACCGTGTTCGAAAGCGAGCGCAGAAGGCTGTGGCCAATCCTTGGAAGGCTGATAAACCCGCTGACTGAGGTGTTTTTAATTGGTCTTTACGGTGGAATAAGGAAACCCATTAATGTGCATGAGTTTTTGCGGCCAGCGGTGGATGCATTGAAGGATATGTTACGAGAAGGTGTCTGCCTGAATGCTAATGAGGCTACTGTATCTATCGTTCTGGGTTGCGTGATTGCCGATGCACCTGCACGAGCATATTTTCGGCAGGTGAAACAACATCCCGGATATTTCGCATGCGAGAAATGCACAACAACTGGTAAGCAAAGCGTGAAGTTTGATAAACATTTGCAGGCTCGCACGTTGATTGTAGAAGGACTTTCCCTAAGGATCCCAAAAGCTCATTATGTAATGACATGGAGTTTAGAACACCCAAACAACCGGAACATCACATCGGAGAATGGCCTCTCGAGGCCCAACGGATTGATATTAGGTTGATTCCCACGTGAAGACATACACACCTTGAGTCTGGGAGTAACACGGAACTTAATAATGCTGTGTCGATGCGGCCGGGACATGTGTAAACATACGATTGCCAGCAATATCCATCGACATTATCAACGCCCGACTGCGCATGTGTTCGGCTAACATGACGTTGGAGTTTCCGCGTAAGTGTCGCACGTTTGAGGACGTGGAACGATGGAAGGCAACGGAATTCAGACAGTTTCTTTACATCTGGGTCGTGGTTTCGCGCGACGTGTTGTCCGAGTACCTGTACAATAATTTCCTTATGTCACCTGTCGCCGCATACATTCCGTACTGTCGTAGGTGGCGTACCCACTAACTGTCGCATGCGAAATCAGTATAGAATAGGATGGTGCGTGACATCCCGAAGCTGTACGGTTAGAAGGAGTTGGTCTTTAACGTGCATTGTTTAGTGCATATGTACCAGGATGTCGGGCGCCTCGGACCGATGAATAACTTCTCAGCGTTTGCGTTCAAATCGTTTCAAAGACGTCTTCGAAAGCTCATAAATAATCCGACGTCTGCGACGTCGCAAATTTTGCGTCGCGTAACGGAGAGGTTAGCGACTGTCACAGATGATGGCTGTTGTTTGGACGACACTGGATGGACCGTAGTTGTGCGTCGTGGTCGTCGACAAACCGGTTTCTTACATTTCGGTGCGCCGATTACCAATGCACATCCAGATAATGCTGTCATCGCACGTGGAAGGCCTTCGCTAGTGCTGGGCCAGCGTTCAAATGAATTATATGCGCAGCATTTCACACAAACTACGTCTCTGTTCCTAGAAACTTGACCATCCTCGGAACTACGTATTTTTAAATGTTGAGGCTCCTTAGCACCACCGACAGGGATTCCGTTGAATGCAATCGGCTGCAAATGTCTTAGATTGCCGTGCGCAGAGTATACTGTGTTGTACCCCATCGTCCACAACTGGAGGCACGAGGATATCAAGAAACATGCGACGTAGGTAAACCGTCTTATTTTATTATTTATTTACTTCAGTTAACAGTCCCTTTTCTACTTCAAATTTGGATGCGCAATGTTGTTGTACACCAGTAACGGCGTTTCGCCGTTACAGTTACGCTTTCACCAACGTGTATAGAATCCACTGCATGCGCTGCTGCACCTGGTTTCGGAAATAGAAGTTACTCCTCCGAACACATTTTTCTAATAAGTTTGTGGAAATGCTGTGCTCTGCGTATATATCTTTTAGATGCATCGCGTGGTGGAATTTCACGATTCTTCGGTTGCAGTGGTTCGTCATCCTGGATGGTTAATATTGAAGTTCTGTAGGGAAGGCTTATCATCAAAACAGGTACCGTATTTCCTGATGCAACGCCTGTCACCACCTGCGTCTGTTGTGACGTACACAGTACGAAAACACAGTTGTACATGGGAGGCTAACTAACCATTTATTTGTACGCATATTTAGATGATTGCCTTTAAGCAAAAATGTTGGAAGCGAGCTTGCTAACATCAGCCGATTTACCATCTAGCGAAGCAACGATTCCAATGCTGCGATGGGGGAAGCGAAAGATGTATGTCGTAGCTAGATAGTATATTATCCCAGCACTGTAAAAACGTTTCCTGGCTGTGAGTTCCCGCCACCCGCAAAGCAGGGCACTGTTCAAGTCATGAACTTGGATTTATCACCTCCACCTCCAAAGCTGTATTTGGAGAAAGAATTAAGCGCAGATTCTGAGATAGAAAATGAACACCTACTAGCCTATTCCCTTATATCCAGGTAAACCATGCATTCGTTTTTACCCATTAATCCGGTTCACCCAGACGTTTCTCAGCCTTCAGCTGTTAGCGGGACATCCTGTGACAGCGCACTGCTGTTGGAAATGAATGGTTGGTTCACAGCGTCTCCGTAACATTTACTTGCAGCCACATTGCGAAAGGTAAATCGAGAAGTGATGAAACTGCGCGAACGAATGACAGCTGTAGAGTTGTCTTCGAACGCGCTGCGTGCACTTCAGACGCGAAGTTCCAGCAACGCTTGCCCATTTCCCTTACCAATGGACACAATAGCGCAACTGTCATTTGAAACAATGCACTGGAGAATTCGTGAACAGCATGGTAAGTCTCATGCAATTTCACATATTTGTAGGTACACTATTTATACAACATAAGCGGCCGGACAATTTCAGAAAGTGTGCGGAACGTCATGCTTATTTGCATGACTAACAACTTGGTCAGGCAAGTGAACTGGCGTGGTGTGCATAAGTATAAGATAGCGAACACACCATTCGCGCGAGCGGTCCTGGGTATTTTACCTTATAAGCAACAATCATGTCCTCAACAGATTCCATTATGAAAAAACATACCAGGATGCACAGAGGCTGTTATTGTTGACAAGCTGCGACGCTGGATACAAAGAATAAAAGAGCCTGAATCCTGGATGCAGAAGGAAACCAAACTGTTATCACTGTAATACTCCGCTTTGTAAATTATTTAATCCATATTACATTATATTTTCGCTAACTGTGTTGTGTTCATGGCATGCAGTGTGTGCGACAGCATTAACATGCTTTCAGTGGTATTGGAAGGAAGGATAATGCGCCTAGGCTCTACACGTTACGGCTGGAAGTCGGGGAAATGTGAGCACGCGAAGGGAGGCGTCACGTTATTTTTCTCCGCGAGCGCCCGATGAGTGACAATTTTTTGCCACTCGGGCGCCCGTCGGGCGTTTGATCGGTCACCCATCGGACGTCCAGCGGGCGTTCATCGGACACTGGTGCTGAGTGGGTCGAGCCCTCTGCGATCCCGTCTGGTGACACCAGCAGTATTTTCTCATTGCGCCTATCAGGTGTGTTAGAACTTCATGCCATCCCTCTGTTCCGAATTAAACAAGCAAACATTTCTTCGCAACTTTCTAGCCTAGTCGAGGAAACATCAAAAGTCCAACGACCTTGACAAAGAAAAGCCTGCCGACAAAAAAGCCGCCAACGTAGCCAAAAGCGCCGCCAAACGCTGTACGCTACGCCGGACCTTCGTCAAAAATATAGGGGCTCAATGACCTTCGGCTTCTTGAAAACGAAGGTCAACCGTTATACTTAGTGCCATCCCTGCCAAAACTCCGTATGTTGGCGATCACGTGAAGGAATGGAAGGTTCCTGAATCGTCGAAATCAATGCACGATCGGAGATAAACGATGAACTGCTAAAATAATGGTTTTCCTCTTTGTTTTTACCTTTTCCCTGCGGCAGTATTTTCTCTCTGCTCTCCGATTTTCAGCACGGTTTCCGGCGGCAACGGTCGTGCCTGAGTATCCTGCTACTTGCCAGGGATAGCTGGACGACTGCTGCTGACTCTTGCCTTGAGACACATGTTATATTTCTAGATTTTGCCAAAGGCTTCGACAAGGTCGACCACAACATTCTATTACAGAAACTGTTGTCTTACGGTCCCCAATCTGTGAGTGCTACGCGGTAACTGGTGTTTTTGGCGTGCCATACTGATCGAGTTTTCTAGCTGAAATATTGTGAAAAACGGTGTTTGAATAAACTCGTAAAGCGAAATTTGACTATTGTCAAATTTTCTCTGATCCAAGATTCCTTGGATCGATTAAAGTGCTACTGGACAAGCGTCTGGTCATCGCCGGACGTTTGACGCCACCTTGTTACTGAAGCTTCGGATTTCGTCATGCCCAACTCACTCTGTTTACACTGCTCAAAACTGGTTACTCAGGGCATTCAGTGTATCGCTTGTAAATCCTGGGCCTGTGGTCACAAGCGTTGTTCGCAACTTACGGATTCGCTTTTTAAGATCTACGCTGAACACAAAGGCCTGTTATGGGTCTGTCGGTATTGCATTGATGCAGCTGCACTGGCAAGACGACCGCCGCTTCAGAATCTTGAGAGATGCTCATCCGTTCCTACTGCTAGAAGAGCCAGGAAGTGCAGCGCGGTATCCCCCGGCGACCATCCAAAGAATACGACCAACCAAGTAGAAGACCTGTGTCGCACCTGTCCCCCCGACAACCTGAATACGTTGCCCACAGTTCCTCCATGCAGCGGGATTTTATCAACTGGTAAACCGGAGCAAACACTACGGATCTCTGATGAGCCACCTCCTGCTACAGTCGCCGATCATGGAACCAGAAACGAGTCACCGTGGATTGTTGCGGGAAAGAGACCTCCAGTTTTGACTCCGAGCACCGTTACGCGGCCGTCCGTATTGTCCGAAACTGGTCTGATCCATCCTCGTAACCATTGTCTGATGATCTTTCATGCCCCGGAGTCAGAGAGTTCCGACCCGCGAATTCGTTATGAGCATGATGTCGCGTTCTTACAAAATTTGGTTGATAAACTCCTGGACCCCGATGAGCTAGGTATTCATATAAAACGAGTATTACGCGTGGGAAAACGAACGGCAAACACGCCTCGTCCGTTGCGAATTGTTTTTGAAAATGACGTCACCCCAGCGCGTCTTCTGTCCCGACTTTGGCGTCTAAACGGCCTGAAAATCCACGTGCGTGCCGACCTCACTTTGGAAGAACGTAATCGCCTTCAAACTGCTACCATTGAACTTAAACGGCGAACTCAACAAGGTGAGAGCAACATACATATCGTAAATTTTCGAGTAGTGCAGAAGCGCCAGCTGATAAACAAGCCGGTGTTGCTGATGGCGCGCGCCCCAAGCTAGTTGCCGGTCTCACTGTGGCGCTTACGAACGTTCGCAGCCTCACCAATAAATTTGATGAGGTACATCTCTGGGTAGAGCAACATTGCCCAGATTTATTTTGTCTGACTGAAACATGGCTCCACGGTGATATTACTGATCCTGAAATTCACATCGATGGATACACGACATTTCGGTGCGAACGACCCAAGGGCGCTCATGGCGGTGTATTGTTATATATAAAGTCCAGCATGAGAGGGGGACTCATATCTACACATTATAGTGCCGACGGCCTATGCGAACAACTTTGGTGCAGAGTTACTGTTGGGCCGAATGAACTGAGAGTAGGAGCCATTTATCGGAGTCCTTCAAACACTTCCCGTGATTGGATCGACGTAGTGCAGCAGCGCTTGAACTGCCGAAATTTTCTGTTGCTTGGTGATTTTAACTTTCCACACGTTGATTGGCCGCATTATAAAGCTCTACCTGGCAGTAGCAATCTCGAATGCGCTTTTGTCGATACAATGGCGGAGATGCACGCTGTGCAACATATCCTGCAACCAACAAGGCAGCTTCCGGGGCAACCTGAAAGCTGTCTTGATCTCCTTTTCACGAACGATGAGCAACATGTCGAATCCGCTAAAGTATTTGAACCCATTGGGTCCAGCGATCACTCCACGATTTCAGCCGTCCTACGTTTGCCATCTGTTGTATCATTACGAATACCCCGTCGTAACATTTGGAAAGCAAACTGGGATCGGTTGATGAGTACTGCGGAACACATGGACTGGTCATTACCTTTGAATGACGGTGTTGAAGTGTGTTGGGAGGTGCTGAAGCAAAACCTTGTTCAGTTACTAGACCAATTTGCTCCTTTAACACCAATAAAATGTTGGAAGAGGCCGCCATGGATGGATAGCGAATATGTTGTCATGTCGAGGCGACGTGCAAAATTGTGGAAGAGGTTCAAACAAACTCATAGCGCCGAAGATTACACAGCTTACAAAACACAAAGAAACTGTTGCAATTCAGTGAAACTACAGAAGCGTGCGGCTTATGAAACACGCTTATCAGCAAATGCGAAGGAGGCACCCAAAAAGGTTTTTGCATACATCAAGCGCAAGCTTAAGCCAACTGACGAGTTACCTGCTTTGGAAAATTCGCTTGGTGCACTGTTGACCGCCGACAAGGACCGAGCTATCGCACTTGCTTCACATTTCGAGTCAGTGTTCGACTCAGCTTCTCCAGCATTTCAGTGTACCCAAGTCGACGCCAAACTGGATACAGTATCCTGTTCAGAGGACCAAGTAAGGGGATTGCTTGCTAATCTAGACTGCTCCAAACCGCCAGGACCTGACGGCTTGCATCCACTACTTCTCAAAAGGCTGGCACCTGTTATCGCACCTGCAGTGACGGAATTGTTCGAGGCCTCTTTGACACAAGGGAACGTCCCACGTGAATGGAAGCAAGCGATCGTACGGCCCTTCCCGAAAGGAGGAAACAGAAGCAGAGTAGAGAACTATAGACCGATTTGCCTGACACCAGTGCTGGCCAAATTGCTGGAGAAAGTGGTCAAGAAGGCGCTGCTTGAGTTCACAGAATCACACGGTGTGCTTACATCAGTTCAACATGGTTTCCTAAGAGGACGGTCTTGTACCACGAATCTTCTGACTTCCCGACACAGTTGGATTGAAGCAGTTAATGACGGTAGGAGCGTTGATGCCTTGCTGATTGACTTTAGCAAAGCATTTGATAGAGTGAATCACTTTATCTTGCTATCTAAACTCAACAGTTATGGCGTGGGTGGAAAATTGCTGAAATGGATTCAGTCTTTTCTGGACAAGCGGCAGTGGTGCGTCCAGGTCAATGACTACCGAACGAAATGGTGTACTGCCTCTAGTGGTGTGCCACAGGGCACAGTACTTGGCCCAACGCTTTTTCTGTTTCATATCAACGACTTACCAGGACGTTTGACATCTACTTGCGCGCTGTTCGCAGATGATTTGAAAGTTTGGAGGGAAATATCGACCCCGTCGATGAGGATATACTGCAAAGTGATCTCGATACAATCTCCTCATGGGCATCAACAAACTGCCTTCCACTGAATGCTGAAAAGTCCGAATTGCTCCGCATTGGCAAGTGCTGTCGGGACAGAACTTACAGTGTCGGTGGACGTCTACTGTGCTCGGCTGCGACGGTTAGAGATCTAGGAGTACTATCCCGATGGGACTTAAAATCGTCAGACAATACGCACAAGGTCTACTGTTCCAGCCTTCGCATGTTTTGGTCATTAAAGCGGACCTTCCACGTTTGGTCGGAGGAAATTGCTGTCAGGCTATACGTCTCCATGGTGCGCCCGCTTTTAGAATACGGGGCACCGGCCTATTATCCAAGTACAAAAAGTGAGATGAGAAAACTGGAAAAAGTCCAGCACCTAGTCACCCGCCTGATCCCCACGCTCCGAGGCTTATCTTACCACCAGAGGTGCCACAAGTTACGTCTCCATACACTAGTATACAGGAGATTACGAATTGACCTCATTACAACGTTTAGAATCCTTCACCTGAGACATATGTTCTGTATTGTGGATGCACCTATCACCCGAGGGCATTCTTACAAGCTGGAAGTTCCACGTATGGACAATGTCACTCATATTCATTGTTTCGCGCGACGTGTGATACATTTCTGGAACTGGTTGCCCAGTTCCGTTGTTCTTTCTGATTCAGTGCAGTGTTTCAAACGAAGCATTGACAAACATTTTTCAGACTTGTGTTTCGATGCAGACGCCATGTTTGACCTCCTTTCGTCGCGTGGTTATGTCACGGCTACACTAGCAACCCTAAAAGACCAAGACACGTAGTGCTTTCTTTGTGCTTATATATCGGTATTTTGTTTGCTTATTACTAAACGACTATTGATGTGCATTCACACAGACCCATATTCGGCATGGGTCATTTTTGCTTTACTTATGATGGAGATCACATAGATTCCTATCG